GTATAAGAGACAGTGATATTGCAAAGAAATTTTGCCAGTTTATAGTTGTAAGTGCCAATAGATGACACAATAGGTCTGAATGGGGGTGCAACATCGTCTGGTCTGTACTTGTGCATTTTTGGGAGACCATAAATTCTGGTAGGCAGTGAACCAGTGGGGTATATGGAGTCGTATGTGTCCTTATCCGATTTGCTGATATGAGGTGGGTAGATTGAGTGAGTGAGACCATTTGTGAAATACAGAAATGTGATATTGTATGGTTCAGTTTGGTTGTTATCCTTTTGCAAGCATTTATAAAGTTTTGTTTAATACTACTAAAGTAGTAGTAATAATAATAATAACCACGGCGGCGGCGACGACGACGACGGTGATTATGATAATAGATAATAATATTAATAATATTAAAAATAGTGCTGAAGGCGAAATGAAGCATGAAAAAAGCTGATGTTAGGCATTATATCCAGTTTTACCAGTAGAATGCATGCATTATTCTTTACTTAAGGAACAAATTAAAGTGAATTTTCACCAGGACTTTAGAGGTTTAAATTCCATTATGTTTAAATAACTTAAAACAAAACAAAATATAATGTTTTTTAAGGGTTTTTGTTTATATTATTTAGCAACATTATCGCATTCACTCTCATAAACTATTTACAAAATGTGTCTGATCTGATTTATTAGATGTTGTATTTCCCCTAAAATTTGGTATGGTACAGTACATGTAAAATTTTAATTAAATACTATCGTTAACCACTACAGAAAGAACAAGCAACAACACTGTTAGTAAGTTTTTTACATCATAAATAATCAGTTTATTTAAATTCACTATGAAGAATACCCCCTTTCAATTTAATAAACAAAAAAATAAATAACAACTTCTAACTAAACACACTTCTTCAGGCCCATTTATACATTTTTGTTTCCTTAAATTATAAGGAAATGTACTCATTTTAATATAGCTAAATATTTTAAATGTAAATTTAGCATAGGTATTGTATCTAAATTCCAAGCATTGGCTTAATTGGAAAGTCTAAGTAAAACATTTTTAAGTTTGATATGTATGTATTTTATTTTGTTTTTTGAATGGTCTTAGTTATAATAAAAATTATTTATATTACAGACTAAAATTTATATTATGGCCACAATTTGGTCATGGTCATATTGCAACTTATTCTTTAAAAGATGAAGAACAATGCATTCTTATTTTATTAATTGTACTCTAATCAAAAACAAACTTGATATTTTGCCTTATTATGCCCTTCCACCAGCAAGGGAACTAATTAAATATGCATCATTACCTTCTGTGATTGGTTGATTGCTCGCTTTTCAATGCTTGGTGGATATAATGCACTCTTCCGGATTTTTTTGCTTTGGTAGATGGATATAATGCGTAATTCTCATAATAATTTCATATTTATAAACATTTTTTAGGGTATATGATCAATTCACATGATAGATTACATCCATAGGATGCCACTAAGCCAAAAATCTCAAAATTCTCAAAAATGGATATAATGCTTTTTCCGAATCACTGCAGTATAATGGCTCCCCCTCTTTCAAATTCCTGGCTACGTCCCTCTCGGGGAGATTATTCCATGCATCAATAACTCTACATGAAAAAGAGTATTTCCATAAATTGTTAACACTACTGTACAGGTTTTGTATAACTTAAATGTCCTCTACTCTTTTGACAAGAAATAAACTAAAAAAATGTATCAACATCAAATTTGACCCATCCTCTGATCTTAAAAACTTATAATATTGGCCCTGGCTTTATTTCTATCAGACTCATTATGTTCTCATTGTCTAGAACCAGGGCCGCTGAGAGCAGCCATGGGCCCCGAGGCAGCTTTGCCGCCTGGGCCCATTGGTTGAGGGTATGGGATTAAGTTGCAGATCCCTGGTGGGGGCCGGGGCAAAGTGCTCCCCTCCCCATCCAGACCTGCGGCCTTTTACTGTAAAGGCTTAGAGTATAGAAACATGAAGCTATCCTTCCTTTTATTCAAATATAGAGCTGAAAAGATTCTTAAAATAGGTATCAAAGTTTACTGTGGCGGATCTAAGAATTTGAAATAGAGGGGGGCCCAGAGAAGGACTTTCTCAGATGGTGAGTCTATGATTTTGCCACCTGTCACCTATGCGAAAACAGGCAAACAATTGGTGCGTTTGACAAGTACAGACTGTTCAGTTAAAAGTCGGTGAAGAAGATATATCCCAAAATATATATTTATTCATCTATTACAAAACCACTGAATCTCAACATATGTAATTCTTTATATAATTACAGTGATCTCTGACCACATGTCAGTACTAACATTTAAATTCATACTCCTTATGATTAAATGTTGATAACGACATGTGCACTAATCAATATTAACTATATATTCATATAGGCTTAGTATTAATCAATAACTTTCAATAATGGTTAAATTCAACATATCAATATATCATACAAATGATATATTATAGTTAAATTTAAGATTAATGAAGAATGGACATAACATGCAAAATAGTTAAATTTAACATATCTATACATCATTTTATTATTTAACATCAATACATCATACAAATTATCTATTATAGTTTAATATTATGAAGATGATATAACAAACTACGTCATTCATTCACTAATAACACAAGTTATCTTAAAAATCTGTATATATTGCAAACTATTCCATTCATGAAATTAATGAGTATCATGCAAATCATTTCATTCATAAACAATTTATAGAAATATGAATATCATGCAAACTATTTCATTCATGAAATTAATTAATGATTGCAAATCATTTCATTCAATGTTCCGTGTTGTACAGTTCACTTTAGTATGATTTCAATCAACCAATACCGACTCTGTCAGCGGCAATCCTGAACGAATCAAATACTCGGGGATACAACAAGACAGTCCATCGCTTGCGTGCTTTTTCCAACAAGACAGTTCATTGCTTGTATTAAATGGAAACAGCAATATTGTACAGTACTTCAATCACATAATTCCTAACAGCTCCAAATTAACCAGCCTAGGCTTATACAGGCATTCACTTAATAGGATTACAACCTGCGCCCTGCAACAAGTACTTCACTCTCCCTTGTACAGTGTACAACAAAAGAAAGTTGGAATAGGTGTGTCGTAATTCCTCAGGAAAATCTATTTTATACGAATGAAAGTTGCACCTGTATGTTTTTGCATATCATTGACTATCAAGTGTTAATCATTAATGAATAGAGTTACTACATGCTTCAATGATTAAATGTTATTTGGTTAAACAATACATAAGATTCAATTCTAATGTGACAGCACATCTAGACGACCGGAAATGGCACTCTTAGATTTAAATTTGAGTAGAATTTTCGTTTTTGCTAAATTTTTGGTGAATTTGATATATGTTAATTTAGTATTTATTTGAAAATTGAATCTCTATCAGGTCTAATCATATAGTATTTTAATTGTCTAACTTGTACAGTATGTATATTGACGATGTGCAGTCTCCAAGCATTTTATAATTATTAATTAATAACTTAAAGAATTTACTATTTGATGCATTGTAAACGTAAACTTTAAGAGTAGTATGAAAAAGAATTAGAAGCAATTAATTACGATCTTTACAATTGTCGTGGGCAAAACATGTGAAGGAGACTAACGTTTAATCCTTTTTATTTATTTATATTATTTTATTATTCTTGACCTAGTTATCTATCCCAGGCCCTTGCCGGTTTCCCTGGCCTCTCGGTGCCTCTGTCTGGAACTATTGGTTCTTTACGACAATTTTAGCTAAAGGGTGTCTAACCACTGGTAATGGGGGCTTAAGTAGACAGAAATCTATACATTATAAAAGAGAAAACCACTTTGAAACAAAAGCAGACAGTCACAGCGCCACCAACCATTATGTGGCTTGAGGAGTGGAGTTGTTTGGTCGTGGGGAATGCAATGAACCAATTAATGACCTTTCAGAAGTGTATTACATAATCGCTGATAAATTGTCCACTAATTATAATTATGATCATTATTATTTTGATGTTGATGGTATTGAAACTAATGATTTTTCAGTAATGACAAATCAATTGATGAGTGATTTACTTTGCATTCCAGCCTATCACACAACCTGTTGGAAAAAGAAAGCGTCACTATAGCAACACCTTTCAAACTCATGGTGAGTAACCTACAGGGCAAAAATTCCTATTCAGTAGATACCAAATCAGGGAGATCTGATTTAATCTTCACACATTATATTTCTCTGTGTGGTAATACCTGTTACACCAATCTTCAGAGAGGCAATAATAAAGTAGTATACAGGGGCGGATCCAGAATTTTTCAAACGGGAGAGGGGTACAACACCTTCAGAATATAGTTAAGTTGGTAGCGCTAATTTCAGTATGCATTGAAATTTTAAAATTACTAGATCCACCTCTGGTATAAACATGAAAACATTTGCAGGAGATGGGTTAGCTTGAAAGAGATAAGAGATTTCTGCTTGTTTGCGAGTGTGCGGAGATTTCAATTTATAGGCACTCCATATGTTTGTGATTTGAGAAATCTATCATTTAATTTTTTTATCCACATTCCACATATTATTACTAACATCAATATTATTAACAGCCATCTCCCCCTCCCCCCTCCCCTTTCAATTCCAGGAGTCGCCAGTAAATCATCACAACATCCCACACTTCCCTGAGTAATGCACAAATCTTTCAATTGTATTTATCCATCTTCTGCAAGTTCAGAAACTTTGCACATCTGTATTAATTGTAAATTATTATTTGCCTGGTCATGATTATGCTTAGCAAATTTACAGTAAAGATATTTGAATTTACAAAGATCATTAACCCAGATTTCCCTGGAGTTGCTTCTCCGAATGCAACCCCTGTTAATGGTATTTCCAGTATACTCGGTGAAGATTATGCATACATTAGTGTTATTAATGCAAGTGAAATGTATTGATGTGATTATGTATTAACAGGAATGGTACTTATCGAGAGAATGACTAACTTACTGCAAAAGACGTGCTCACCAGTTCCAAAATTATTAGTAAGTTCAATGGATCTGATTCTTTATTAGTTTCAGTTAGTAGTCACTGAAATAATTTTATTTATATATTTTCAATATTACATATTAAATTTTCAAAGTTAAATAGTTTTTTCGTTAGTGTATGATTTTTATATTTTGTTTAATAATTTCATAATTAATTTGTTTAGTTTTTCAGTTGTGCTTATTTATTTATCTGCTATGTTTACTATATCAATTGCCTGGATGAGAAACATGTTACTTTTATTTGACCTTTTTTGACTTTATTGGTATTTGTATATGACAGCCATCTGCATGTTAACAGACAATATTTAATGTAATGTGTAGAGTTTAACAACACCTCTGTCCACAATATCAGGTTTTCTTTAACAAAAAGCTGTTGTATGCTCATCATGTAGTCATGGTGATGATGTGCCTATATATGGTCATGAAGTGATGTCATCATTCTTCAACTTTTGTAGGATTACCTTGAAAGGAATGGCTGTGGCGTCCTGTTTCCAAGAGCTGTATCATACGTTACCAACCCACACACAAAGATCACTCCAATAAAACAGGCACCAATGGACGGTCAGTCATTTGATTTGAGTTTATTTGAAAATCACTGAACGTACAATTACATCAAAATAGAGTAAAGCAGAAAATGTATATATAGGAGTGATTGTGTTTCTGCTTCTCAATCTTGAGGTCAGAGGTTCAATCCCTCGCTGTGCATTTTGCTTGTGTCTATAGGCAAGGCAGTTTACCTACGGTTGTCTCTCCACCTTGGAGTGAGTACCTGGTATTCTCAAACACAAAAATGCACTGCTTACACTGCAACATTTGTCGAATTCTCCCCAGTATGTGTTCCATATGCGATTGATTCAATGACCGGGGGTAATACTAGGAAGAGCTATTGAAGACTTGTTGGCATTAAGCATTATAAGTGTAACATATTATTATTATTATTAAATTATTATTATTATTATTATTATTATTATTATTATTATTATTATTATTAATATAATAAAAAAAGAAACAATGTGATTTTCCAGGATAGCCCAATAAAGCCAAGGCCCAGAATTTATCAATCTCACTTTAACAAATGTCTTAAGTAAAAAAAGTTAAGATGTCCCTAATAAATATCTTAAGCTGATTTATTACCCAATCTTATCAAAATCTTGGCTTAAAAGTCGTCTTAGATGGCGCCAACGTACAATCGACTTTCTAATTTTAACAAATTTTTAAGTTAAGCAATATGGATAAATTTGACTTAAGCAAAAAATTGGACTTAAGACGAATTTAAACTGATCTCTAGTTTGATAAATCTGGCCCCTGAGGCTTATTACCATGGGGGTCCAGTATTGAGAATAAAGTATTTTATAGGCAGTTACTATTACGCCCGTCTTAAAGAATTCCTAATTTTGTCGGATGTTATTTTCCTAATCCAATCTATACATACCATAACATCCAATCACAATTATAATTTTATTTAAGAGTGGTGTAACAATAGCCACTACCCATTTTTAGCCCACTCTCTGAGAGGGCTTATATGATGATTCTGAGCAAATTTTGAATTCATTTGTTTTCTATTTCTTCCTTCGTTTGTGACGCGATTAGGCCGATCTTGCAATAATATGGAAGATAAGGCCTGGGGAATTTAAAGTATGAAGAATTTTTGCGAAAATATTGTCGGGAAATATGTGAAAAAGTATGTTTTTATATCATATCACTTAACACTATGGTGGGTTTCCTATGAAAGCGTGTTTCGTTATTGATCAGATAGCAAATCGCCTGTATATTCCACATTGTGTTTATCAACCAATCACAGCCTGGAATGGTATAGCTTTGAGGCTAATAAATGCGTCTGCACGAGTCTAGTTGGTAGCGAAGAATGAGCCGTTTTGTGGTGCTTGCAAGGGTGGGTGGTCTCTCCTCTGAGAGATAAACAATGTACACTACTGTAGTGTGGGCTGGCCTAGAGCTAGAGGAAGACGAACTAGGCCATAGGCTGGCTGGGTAGTACATGTGTGTAATAGATTTCATGCAAAATTTCCAAAATATAGAATTTCACTTTCAAGAATGAGGATTTTAAAATAAATTAGATGGTTACATTGCATACTCTTTGTTTCTTGCTTTTATTCAAAATGTTTTGGTTTTGGAAGCTGGTTTCAACATTAGAAAGCATAGTGTAGCCTACATGAAGTCATATTATAGTAACTCGATGCCTATCAAATAAGTAATAAAAATTTGCCATAATTCATCAAATATCCGTGGCTTCCAGGGGACTTTGCCCCCTGGACCTCCACCGGGGGCCTTAGGCGGTCCCCTGGCCCCCAGCCAAGTGGGACTCGATTCGCTCCACTAGCCTCCCCCCTTCGGGGCATTTAGCCCCTCCGTCGGGCAGGTCCTGGCACAACCACTGTTGTCAAAGATTATGTTGTGAGTAGATGAATTATTACTTATTTAATGACACATGTCATAGTTTCAGGTACCCTGTATATTAAAATTTCATATGACATACACCTATTTTTTTTTTTTTATTTATTTGTTACTGAAAACTACCATGCTAGATAGTCAAAATCGACTCAATACAACCTCATATTCCTCAAATGTGCTGGGCTTCAAGGGGCCTTGCGCCCCCACCAGGGCCCCCTGGCCCCCAGCCTAAGGCTGCGCAGATTACATCCCCCTTTTTTTCTGGCAGGCTGCATCCGCCCATGCCCTCGGTGCTTCGTACCTTGGCTGGTCTTCCATCTTTACTTTGGCACCCCCCCCCCACCCTTTTGCTAAATCCTGTATCCGCCCCTGATTGAGACGGTAGCTTTTCAGCATTGTTCTAGGATGATTTTTTTTACATATGAATTTTTTAGCTTTTCGTACTCTACAACCACATAGGCCTAGGTACGTAATATATTAGATCAGATGTTAATTACATAAAATCGTATTTAATGGGGGCGGAGTGGGTTTCTTTTCTCGCGATTTACCATGGGATGGCTACTGTCATCGTTACCTAGACTTGTAGACGCCGTTGTCCATATGGTAATGATGAAGATCGTTCGTGTACCTATTGAGTGATGAGGCATGAATAAAAGTGCCTTTCATTTTCAATGGCATTCCATTCCATTCCAACCATGGTATAACCAGTCGATGAATATCCCAGTAATGAGATATTTTGTTTAGATTTCACAGCGTGCTCCATGTACCTCCTCCATTTATTTAAAATTAAATTATTAAAACATTGCCTATAATCTAGTAATGTACTAGTATATTATTTAATCTAGTAATGTATATATTTAAAAACATATTGGACAAGTATTCATACTACTTAATACTGTACAGGTGTCATAGACATGTATATATATATATGTATATATACAAATTCCCGCATCTATTAACAGACGCATATCCAATATATCTGATTCCAGTGAATCATTCCACCAGGCCGCCCCTGACTACGAACAAGCTCTACAAAACAGCGGATTCCAGCACAAAATGGAATACCACCTCCACAACCAAAATCTTCAAAGAAAAATAGAAGCAGACAAATAATCTGGTACAACCCACCATTCAGCAAAGGAGTGAAAACCAACATCGGAAAATCATTCCTTAACCTGGTCAAAAAGCATTTCCCGAGTGGCAACATTTTACATAAGCTCTTTAACAAGAACAATGTCAAAGTCAGCTATAGCTGCTCAAGAAACATGGGCAGTATAATCAAAGCCCACAACAAACAGCTTCTGGTTGCTAAGCAACAACAGCCAAAAACTCTCTGCAATTGCAGGAAAAAAGATGAATGTCCACTCTCTGGAAATTGCCTCAACTCATCCATCATCTACAAAGCCACTGTCTACTCAGATGATGACAAAAAATGCTACATCGGGCTCACTGACACACCGTTCAAAACCCGATACACAAACCACAAATACACTTTTAATACCCCCAAACACAGAAACAGCACCGTACTCTCCAAATACGTATGGAAATTAAAAGATAGCAACACACCCTACAACATTAAATGGTCTATCATCGACAGAGCATCGGCTTACTCCCCAAACACAAAACGCTGCAACCTGTGCATAACCGAGAAACTTCACATAATATATTCAGACAAACAGTCAACACTAAACAAAAGAACCGAGCTATTGTCTAAATGCAGGCACAGCAACAAATACCTACTTAAAAACAATTAACTCATTTGCATTTTCACCTGTCTTAGCATTCATATACTCGCACAACCCTTGTATTCTCCCACTCCTGAAGATTGCATTAGCATGAAACAGTCTGTAGAGTGATAATACCCAGTTCTACAAGTTCTACATTTTCAATACTTTCAATATTTACGCTCTGCATTATCACGTGTATCGAGCACTATACGTTTTGCTTGTATTGCCAACTACATTTATTCATTAAATTGCTCCCAGTGGTCGAGCACTATCGGATATACCAGCATTGAACATGGAACGTGTGAATTTTGGATATTCAATGAAGAACATCCCTTTACCA